TTTCCAGAAAACAACTCTTCAGATTTATCATCTTGCAGCATTAGGGCAGTACTCACAACTTGGAGAGGCACAGTGCTGTGATTTTTGGATTTAACAAAAAAATAAAAAGGAAGAAAGGAAAAAAGGAAAACAAACTATAAAGGTCAATAGAGATGCTTCTGCCTTACAAATAAATAGGCAATTTATTTTTAGATAATATATAAATAGAAAATATATAAGCTTACTTAAAAAAACAGATGTTTTGTTGTGCAATATTCAGCTGTTCAGCATAAGAAGGCTGAAAATGGGAAGTCCTTGAAGGAGAGTAAAAGTAACTTGATCATTGAGAGAGGACTAAAAAGCAGATATGTAGTGCCACTACCAAGAAATAAATGGGATATGATTACTTTTTTTTTTAATGCTTTTGAATCCATGAAAGTGCGGTGTAGTTGCAGCTGGATTTTAATAGCTGTCTGAGCTATTGTGGAATGAAATAGTTCTTGATGGTGTCATGTGATGTAGTAATCACTGGTGGGTAGAGTAGGGGTGATCTTGCAACTTTTTTTCCAGTGCTTTACAAGCTAGTTTTTAGTGGATAAAGTTAAAAAAAATTATAAAACTGATGATACTTTTTTGTTTGTTTCCAGAAAACTGATTGGGAAGTAGCCATAAAGAGTATTAACAAAAAGAATTTGTCAAAGTCACAAATCCTACTTGGAAAAGAAATAAAAATCTTAAAGGTATGTTGATTTACAGTGATTTTTAAAGCTGCTTTACTTGAAAAGGAAAAGACACTCTTGACCTAGTTCGTTTCGGGTTATGGGTAGTATCACAGTAATTGCTATTCGACCTTTCGTTTCTTTGTTAGTTGCAGGAGAAACCCAGAACTAAAAAGACCAAGAAAAAAAAATAAAAGGAAAAAATACTTTTTTAAGGTCTAGAAATGGTCTCAGAACTGGTTACGAGCATGCTTTTGTTAAAACTTAAATTGGAAAATTGTTGTAGAACCAGTCTCTGTGCTTTGCTTATTGCACATGTAGAAAACTTTGTCCTTCCGGATGGGTAATGGGGCACCTTTCCCAAGCAATGTGTACAACAAAAGTCATAGCTGAGGGTAAAACATCAGTCGTTGATCTTTCTTCATCTTCTTTGCTCAAAGATGCCTTGAAAGCTAAAATCAGCATGCTGAATTTGTTTCCTGAAGCGGTCTTCCCACTTCTGAGTTGTGTTAATTGACTTAAAATGTGTAGTGTGACTCTAATGAAGGAAATAAAACAGAGTATCATTTAGTTTTTCAATGCTATTTTATGGAAATGTCTCCTTGGATAGTGTCTCAGCATTCTCCGCCCTCTGAACTTCACCACATCTCATTTTACATAGCTTTGCAGTAGTAATTGGTGCTGCTTTTGCTCCATGTTTCGAAGCTTCTTGAGATACATCACTATTTTATATACTAATATATACATATTATATTCTAGTATATTTATTAGATACCATAAATTGCGGTGTTTGGTATATTAGTGTGCTGCAAATGCTTAGCAAAGCCAGATGCTTTTTTGAGCAGTTACAAATAATTGCATGAGCTGTCCTCTTGAGTTTTGTTTGGTGGTGTTTGGCTTGATTTCTATTTTATTGTAAAATGGTAAGGTTGGCTTGAAAATAGTGTAGTTGGTTACTCTGCTAAGCAAGAAATTGTGTGAGACTATAAAATTAAATTTAGTCAGTTTTCATTACTCATTAAAGAATCTTGTGCTGTAGTACTTTTTGTAACAAGACATAGAAAATAAGTTCTGGAACCAAATGTTTTTATGAGCTCTAAAGATATCACCTAATTTCCTATTCCTGTAAATATTGTCTAAATAGCTGGGATTTCCTCCAAATTCTGTCAGATGGTCTAAAAAAGATGTTACCTTTCTCTGTAAAATTTGGTTCTCTTTTAATATCACCTGGCATATTACATTTAAAATAATAATAATAGGCTATTTCCATAATACGAATATTTTGTCTTACAGGAACTTCAGCATGAGAACATTGTAGCTCTCTATGATGTCCAGGTAAAATATATCTTGATGCCTTTTTCTTCATTAAATTTTATTTATGAAAATATAATGTGTGTGTGTGTACATATATAAAAAAACCCAATCAAGTAGAACATTTTGAATGGCCATATATTTTGTTGTTATAATCAATGTGATATTTAGAAAAAGAAATCCAGTTCCCCAGTAGTGGCAGGGGAGTTCTCTGATCTTCAACACACTGCGCTTATTTTGTATTGGTTCTTTTTAATAAGCAGCATGCAGAGTTGGGATAGAAAGCCGTGAGGAATATGGTTTACTTCCAGGCAGCAGGGGCAAGTGGCAGCCCGAGACCCTTTGCAAAGGCTGGTTGTGTAGTCTGGTCCTGTCTCCAGAGAAAAAGCATCAGCTGGCTGGGCTGGGAGCTGTATCGGAGGCAGTAACTATTTTCCTGACTTAGCATTGTTTCATTGGCCCTATAATTTAGTTGGGAGGTGGATGTTTGTGGATAACGAGTGAATACACCTGAAGGAAAATGTACTAGTAGGAGTTGATCTGAATGGATGAAGCAATGGATGAAGCAAATGACATTAAGAAGTCAACATAACTCAAAATACGCCGTTGTAGAAAAGGAGCAGCATCTCTGAGATCTCTGTAACAAAGAAATGTATTGTATAGCCCTGTGTCATGGTGAGGAAGAACTGAAGGAAATAGAAGACTGAGATCACAGATGTATATATTGCTGTTATCTGTGTTCAAAAGGATAGGATATGTATAAAAGTCAAGCAGACATTTGGATCTTTTTCAGCTAGGAGAAATAAGTATTGAATTGCTTCAAAGTGTCTTCCTTTTTTTTTATTCCCAGGATTCGGCCTGATAAGGTGAAGAAGTTAGTTTTCTAGCCTATCTAGGGTAGTGTATTCTATTTAGTAGGAAGTATGTTTTTTGTATCCTAAGGCCTGCAGGTGTTGAGTAAAGCTAAATACGACATGATGTAGGTTATGCAGCCATTTGTTCTGGTTGAATAGGAACTGTACATTTATCTCCTGGGCTCAATTCTAATCCTAAATACAGAGTTACATTTATGAAAAAATTATTAAGAGCCACCCTTGGGGCATCGCATAGTTAAAGCAATGCAAAATAGACATTTTGACATGTTTGCATCCTAAAAGGCTTTCAGCTTATGTGTAGATGTGTATTTCTGTAGCAATAGAAATCTGTGTTCACATGATATATGCTAGGCAGGCTCAGGTTTTATTGTGTGTAGCACTATAGGACATGTACTTACTAATGTGGACTTTTGGTACAAAGCGATGGTGTTCATGTAGACTATGCATTAAAACTTGCTATTTGGATGTGTAGACTCTTTTTCTTCCTGGGACTTGACTTCACAACTCTGCGTTTTGAATATTAGCTACTCTGAGAGGAAAAGTGTAGTCTCTTGTGCTTCTTGAAGAGACCAGGTTTTCCTGAGTATTGCTAAGTGGAAATAATCTCTCAGTGACCTATATTTAGTGTATCCAGACATCTTAAAAGAAACTGGAATTGTTGATTGAGGGCGTTGGTGTGTGAGTAAGCAGCTGAATTTCACATTTATCATTTACAGTTGTTTATACGTGAAGATTACTTACTAAGCTTTGCAGCTCCAGCCTGAGGGGAGTTGACTATGTGTTTTGATGATTTAACATTGTGTATCTTCTAAGCCTTGGAGAGGCTCTTGCTGCTTTTGATTTATGCACAGAACATCCACAAGGGGAGAGAGGACAAAACCATACACTTGTCTATGGTTTCTTTACCTAAAGGTTATTTAAAAACATAACTTCTGTGCTTTTCTGCTCTGCCACAGGAAGTGGTGCCCTTAGAGTGACAGGTCTTCTTGAATGATCAGTCCTGTATTCCCCATGCGAGAAGGAGATATTGTTGCTTGTCACTGACTACTGCATTTAAATAAAATGAACAGTTAAAGCAAAGAGAAGGGAAAACCTGTGTCTCATACCCTGGATATATTTCAAATGCATTCATGGCAAATATAAAGCTTGGCAGTATGATGCTACATCTATAGAAGAAATTGCTTTGCAAAATATGGTCTAAAGAATGTGACACTTGCACAAATAAGCTTTTCCCTTTCTGCACAGGGCTATGTTTGTGAAATATTATACATCATTAACTTGTATCATTACATTAATTTATAACCCAGCAAGAATGAACACTATGCCAGGCATTCATATGTCTAGTAGGCTGTTACACCTACTAATTTTCTTCAGCATTTCATGTTCTAGCATGTACTGCCCTTTTTGTTTGCCATAGTGTTGTGAACATAGTGGTATAGTACAGCAGATAAGACTTTAGGATTACAAGCAATTTTTAAGTTACAGAAGCTATTTTTTTTTCTCAGTGCTGGAGCCAGTGGAGTGTGTCGCCGTAGGAAGTTCTCAGTGTGACTGGGAGTCTGTTTTATTTTTATAGTTCTGTTGGTCTGAAGTTTTTCTTAACCTTAGACAGTGTGAAATAAGAAAATGCTCATGTTTCAGATGCGCTGTTTGCAGACCATTTAGCTGAACAATCCAAGAACTGATTGTACCAAATTTTCAGATAGAAAAGATGGTGTGCAATCTAAGTGGCAAAACTAAGTGGAAAAAAAAGTGCAAATTAATTGCGATGAAGAATAAATATGTTTACATCTCATAATATTAAATGAAATTATTTGTACTTAATGGCAGTACTTTGAGATTAAAGTTGTATCCCTGCATAGCAATTTGGAATATGTCTTTTAAGTTTGAGAATGAAAGGGTAGTTAATATTTTATGTATTGCAGAAGGCTTCATTTAGAATTGTTTTCACAGGAGATAGTTAGATTCTTTCTCTTTCATCTCTGTTCATTTATGATTGTGTTCATGTTGCATGATCTGTGACCAGTGGCACAACTCGGTGTAGTAAAGATACATACACCATTAAGGTTTTAATTAGATCCAAGGAGAACTTGTGAGCCCTTCTGCTGGTAGTATATGAATGTTTTAAAATCTTCTACGTTGCTGTTGCTTCAGCTCCTATGAACACCGTTTTGATGTGTTTGTTACTACGTATCAGGTCCCCTGAGTTGAATTACTAGAAATGCCCGTTCAGCTGGAGACACACCTGAATGAATTGGTGTACCGTTAACGTTGTCTGTGCGTTGATCGGCATAAAAATCTTTTGTTCTGGTGCCAGCACTATAACTGCCCTTGATTTCTGTAAGGTGGTTACCTGCAACACTGGCAGATTTGATCTGCAGTTAAGCATTTTATGTAAGCAGAGCGTACCATTGTTGTTTGTGCCATCTTGGAAGGCCAGAGATCTGCACACGCTAGGGTGTGGAGACCAGCAGCTTTAAGACTGAAGATGTTTGTGGAGATACTTAACTATGAACTCTCCATCTGTGAGAGGCAAACATTTTGCAGTAGTAGGGCTCTGAAAAATAAGTGTATGCAGCTCGAATCTACATGTGAAATTAATTTTTCTTTAAGTGAAATGCTTAAAAAACCCCTGAGAATATAATAGATGGAGAGCAAGATATAACCTGCTGAGACATTTATTTATTTATCTTCTTGGTCAAGAGATTGGTATTCTTTCTTTGAGGAATAAAAAAACCTCTTGAATCTCTAAAATGGTCTAAGAATGCAGCTCTTTTCCCGTGGTGGTGCTGTGGGATGTTACTCATCCTGCAAAGGAAGATCAGACAGTCTTGGATACCTTTAACTGGGGAAATTAAACCCACTGTTTCTCAAAAGCAAAAGGAGTCTAAAATAACCTCTAACTCACCAGCATAGAGTATATTGAGGTCCTTGGATAAAGCATTATACTGAAGTATGAAGGTATCAGTAAGTTATTTGGAATGTGCTATATTTAGGACATGAATTTACAGTTTTGTGCAGTTCATCATCCCAAGCGTGTGCTGAGTAGAACTAATCTCTTACACAGTGCCAGACAGTGCCTGTTTTAGCAAATAATTTAATTCAAAACCTCTTTAGAATGTCAGCCATCAGAATGAAAGCCTGTAATGTATCTTGGAGATAGCATTTTAGAAGAATGTCTTCACTGTATGAAGTCTGAAGTTTGCTATTTGAACAGTAGTTTAGGGAGAACTAATTTCTAGTGTGTTATTGGAGAAACAGTATCAGAACAGAAATTGTTTCGTGTCTTAGCTTGTTGGTACATAGCAGACAAAATAACTGCAGCGGCTCCTGCTGTCCTTGAAAGCAGTGAAAGGTAGTGGGAATGAAGCCAGTGGTCCTTCTGGTACCTACACCTCAGCCTTTACTTATACACAAGTGCCCAGCAGTTCTTACTAGGCATGCTTATGAAGGAACCATGTTTATCTATACCTGTTGTTTTACCAGTGGGAATTAAATATTGCTGGTTGGTTTACCCAAGGACTCCAGTTGGTCTGGTAGTATTGCGTATGTTTCTTGAGGTGTTTGCTTCAAGCATTCTGGTGTGTGCTCTTGATCTTGGTGTCTCACAGCTTTGATTGCCTCCATACTCTCATCATAGCTGTTTCTGAACTGTCATCTTTTGAATGAGAATGTCTCAATATCTTTATTTTTTTCCCTCAGCTCCTTGATTAAGGCCTTTCTATTTGTCCATGTCCATCCTCACTGTGTGTGGAAATGGTCATGTGAAAACATGCCATCCGGAGTAGTTTTCAGATAAAAAGAGAAGTCCTGCCCTGTACAAATTGTAAAGGTTTTGAAATGTTGCCTGGCAGCTGGTGCTGACAGGAAGGTTGGTTACAATAATATTGGACTGCAAGGTATGACGCTAGTGTGGATGTTGAAGGTTAGGAACAACCAGTTAGAATTTGTTTTGGCCCACAGAACCAAAGAGCTAGAGTTACTACATACTCCTTAACTCACCTGCTGTGCCTAGATGCTATAATTTGTATTTCAAAACTGTTTCAGAAGATGTTCAAGTATGCGAGTGTGTTTAATGTTTGGTGTGCTGTGAACAGTTGTGCCTTTGTGTTGTGCAGCAGGCCAGTCTCTTTCACTGCCTCCCATATATATTAGTTAAGTACAGCATTGAACGTTACAGAAAATGAGTGATACGGCTATTGTGGTACATTTCTTCATGGCTGATTGCTCTTTTATGTGAATAATTGGCAGCATGCATGCTATTTGAATCCTGTAGGCACATGTCAACTGTCATTTGGTCTGAGACTTAACATTTAGTCGGAACTAACAAACTGTTCAGTCCTTTAGACATGATAGGAGCTGAGCATGTTAGAAGCTGCTGCTGTGGTGCACTCGCAAAGCAAACCAAGAGCATCTTTAATACATTGAGAAACAGCCTTAAAAAGATCTGGACTGATCCCTTTTCGCTAAATCATTAGAACTTTTGCCAAATATAGTTAATGCCTAAAAAAAACCAACCAAACAACAAAAAAAAAAGAGTGTATTCCTGGCCAAAAAACTAAAGGAAACATAGCACAAATTAACATATCAGAAAATTAATCAGATAATAGCAGTGCACAAGCTGTCAGGTTCACTCTCATGCTCTTGGGACTCCGATCATAAACTGCAGCTAAACAGAATCTACAAACTTGGAGCAAAAACGTAGTAACTATTTGTTTGCCAGTTTCTGCTTTGGCAGCTCACTAAGAGCTCCTTGCAGACTTTCAGCTTGTTCTAAAGGAGGACTTCCTAACTAAAAAGAAATCTAGGGTATGTTTCTGCCAATACGTTAGCGTTCTAGCAACAGCTGTCATGAAGTAACCATGGATGTTTTGACTTCTTTTTCAATTAATGTCTTTTAAATGGAACTACTATGCTGAGCCTGTGATTTGGGTTGGAACTTCACATCCCCTGAGAAAACTGTTGGAAGTCTGGGATTAAAACACATGTTTTGGCAGATACATTGCCTCTTAATGTCTTTCTAGTAGGTTTATCTGTTAGCTTTCAGAATTGTAAAATGTTTTCCTATTAACCTTTGCTGTCTTTAACTTGCAAGTAAACCCTAGATTCGGAGTAAGAAGGAGCAAAAGTAGGTTGTTGGGGTTTTCTTGTTTTGTTTTTTAAAAAAACCTTTAAGCAACAAAGCAAGGCATGCTGGGAAAAACTGTTCCATCATAATTGTTGCAACACAATGCAACACATCTGTTTTGCTTGATTATTTTTCTAGGTAGAAGTGTAGGCCAGAACAATTCCAGCTGCAGTAATTTTATGATCTGTATCTCAATGTAAATTTTTGAAAGCTTTGTTATCTCTTTCAGGAAGCAGTTTAAAATAGCTTGCTAGGTCAGCTTTATTCCTGAATGTAAGATCTGAAATACGCTGCTTTACTAATGTTTTCCTTTTTGAGCACTTTGCTCTGCTTAGCAAGTCAACAGAAATCACAAGGCTAGAGAATGACAATAGGCATAGCTTTATATTTTTTCAGCAAAATAATTTAGAAGGAAAAAATCTGTCTACAGAATGGACTTGTGTTTTCTGAATGTATTCCCAAAATGGAGATCACATTCCCAGTCAGGCTGGCCAAGAACTATAATGCAAAATTTGAGGAACTGTGAAGGGCTGAACAACTTCAGCTGTTCTGAACCAAAGCTTGCATTGGTGGGATATTGACAAGTGTTTGGTTACGAGTTGAAGTTGGGACGAGATGTGGCTGGGGTATTTGGTACCAGTACTGTGCAAAATATTACTTCTGCAATACAAATTAGATAGGACTTTTGACCAGTCTGGGAAAATCTCCTTGTGAAACCTCTAATCTGCTCTGCTGATTTAATAAAAAAGGATTATCCGAGCTACAATAAGGAAACATGCTCTACTTCTTAACTATGACTTTAACCCAGTGACTTGTTTGATTGTTTTTAATCAAGAATATCAGTCAGAAAAAGATGAGTAATGCTATTTGAGGGAAATCTAGTGTCATCTGTAGGAATGACTTCCTTTAAACAGGTGAGGGCTAGTACAATGGGACAAATCATCAGCTCTGTGTTTCTGAAGACAGCAGTTTAATTAAAAAGGACTTTGTTTCCAAGGGAATCCAGAAAACACATTCTTAGTTCTGTGGTGACTAAATGTCTGTCGTGAGCTGAGCATTACATACTGCCATAAGCTGCTGGTTTTGTATAGAGTATGTTGTGTAGTGGAGGCACTGATGCTGTGGAACTTCTATTTCTGATTCATGGGATTGCTATGTTCGACTGGAAATCCGCTAGCTGAGCTTCTTTCTTGTCAATGGCGAACGGACAGTTTCCATTCTTCTTAGCTGCATTACTCTTTCACGCATCACAGTCATCCTTTAAGTGAAGTGATCCTCAGTTGGCAGAATGTTCAGTTTGATAAATTGGGATCTCAAGAGTTGTTTCGTTGGCGTCCCTGAGGTTCCTGAAAGAGAGTGAGTTTCTGTCTTGGAAGATGTTGTTGGAAAGGAACAATGTAGAAAGAAACAACATTTATCATTATGTATTTTCAGTAATTTGCAGAGCAAGTAATTGCTTATCTTTTTCTTTTTGCTTTAATGTATGCACTTAGGTTTTGAGGCATTTATAGGATTGCAAATTACAGTTCGTGTTGGCCACAGCTGTTACAGAAACATTGAACAATTGGGACTTCCTGAAATGTGGTCTACTGCTGCTTTAATATTCTATATTGGTTGGAGTTTGCCTTTCATTCCCAACAGATTTGACTAATGTTCCTAGAAACTTGCTTTCTTTGAAGCTAATTTCCAAATGTAAACAAATCTGTAAAGTGCTTGATGTTCTGAGCTGTAACACAGACGAGAGTGGCTAAACTAAATGCTTCCAGAAAGTGAAGCAGCCTAATACAGTCTTGAATTAACCTTAAAATATCTGGTTCAGCTTGAACTGTACTTACTACAGTTATCTGTAGTGGATATCTGTATTGGTGGATTGGTAGAAACCGTCTTTAGTGGGTTGTGCCACCCATGTGCTCTGTGTGATATTTAGGGTAGCTGGTTTCCCTAGTCTGGGCCCATGAGCCCATTTTTACTTTATTTGTCTTTTTTAAAGCTTCCTAGCCTGACCTGTTAGCAAACCCTTGAAAATGGCACTTTTGTGGTAGTTCTTGCCAGTATGGTCAAATTGAATGTGTGCTGAAGTTTTAATACAAGCACTGAGAAAGGTGGCTAAGTTCACAGCTTTTGTTTTGCCATGCAATGGCCCTTTTGACTTCTTTTGGTACTAGTTAACAGAATACAGTCAGACTGTCGATGGTTCCGCTTCCGACTGGGACGTGTGCCTGGCCTTGTCTGGTATGCCATCTTGCTCTTTTCCTTCAAGTATCTTCAAAACATATTTTCCCACAAACTGTCAACCTTTGTTTAAGTTTATTTTTAAAGTGAAAGGGAGGTAACATACTATGTAACTAAAAGCATCATCCTGTTTGGCATCTACTTGCCTTATGTTTCCTTCTAGTTCTCTTTGTGTTCTTTCCTTTCAGTCTTAATCAGCTTAGAGACAAAAAATGCTTTTACCTTATGAAAGATCTCTGAGTGTCTTCAACTTTGTAGGCACAACAAAACTATTTTATGCAGGAGACTTTGTGGAAAAAAAAAATTGTTAATTTTGTTAATTATTGGCATAGACAGGTAGGCTCTTTCTTCCCTCACACAAATATTTGTACAAAAGATGAATGTTCTTGTTACAGTCGGGTTTAAGCACGGGCATTTTTACTGCATTTTGTGGAGCATGTAGATAATTTACAGTAGAAGTTAGCCAATCTGTCTTTCAGTGAGTCTTACCCAGTTACAAGAGAGGGAATTCAGGTTGCAAATAGGTCAAAGGAGGTCAGTGCTTTGGAAAATCTCCGTAGGACTGACATACCAAATCACACCTTTGCCATGAGGCATTTAGATCCCTGGCAGAGACATGCTTCTGCCAGTGACTTGCCGAGGGAGATATTTTACAGAAGTATGCGTGATTCCTGAATTAATTATCCCATAAAAGAGCATTTGGGAATCAGTTTATTCCACAGTTAACTGCTCTGTGATTTCTGACTGACCTTTGGCTTTTCAGATGGCAGAACCAAAGCTTGGTTTACCCAGAAGCGGGGAGCGTAACTGCGGAATTCCTCCTCTAGAAAACTGGTTTTCATAGCCAAGTTGTCTCGCTCACAGTTTTGAATTCTATCCAGTATATTTGTGACTAAATATTACTGTCCCATTAGTGACTGATTTCAGTGACTTGTGATAGCGAAGGAATATTTATTTGTAGGGGTTTTTAATATAGAGGTAGTGTTGCTAGAGCAGTCCAAGGCAGTTGAAAGTGAAGGGAATGACATACAGTGGAAACTGATTTTACATACTGTATGATGCTCTTTCAAGTGATAGCTTCAGTCTTCGGAATATTGCCTGGTGATTTTTTTTTTTTTACATACACTAATGCTTTTAAAATGTGAAATATTTAATGATGGGGAACGTATGTGACTTTAACATAAGGTGTCTCAGTTGATTGAAAATCTCACATTACACTTGGTTAATGCAGGTACTAAAGGCTTTGTCTTGTCACATTCTTAAATGGGATTTTTTTCTCCTCTTTTAGGAAATGCCCAATTCTGTCTTTTTGGTAATGGAGGTATGTATTATTTCTGGCTGATTTTAAAGATGATTTTTATACAAAACTACTTCTTTGCACAGCTGCAAAATAACCATGACTTGTTAAAACAAGTAATTCTGAAAACTAGATTATTAATTTTGTCTGCACTACTAAAATTTATCAGCAGTGTTTGTTCCATAAGTTATTCACTTTCATTTTATGATACTCTTAAGTATTGATGAAATACTCATAAGTATTGATGAAACATTACACCTTAAATTATTAACTACAAATAATTGACAAAATAATTTTGAGGCAAACAGCTGGAAAGTATCTTCTAATTCTAGTGAAAAGATTACAAAATAAAAATTATATAGTGAGTATTTCAGTGCTTGTGTTTTGAATAAAACCCTTTCTTTTTAACAGTACTGCAATGGTGGGGATTTGGCAGATTATTTACAAGGTAACTGATTACTGTGTTTCCCTATTAAGAAGCTATTGCATTACATGTTTATATTCTGTATTCCTGTAATCTGTTGGTGTTTCTCTGAGACTTTTTGCTTGTGGCTTAAATATTTTCCTGTTTATGGAATGTCTGTAATTCCACAATGCTTGTTCACCCTGGTGTGATTTTAGAGTAGTCTCTTCATACGAATAATTGATTTCACCAAGGATCTGTTTAGTGTTGCGTTCTGTCTCCAGTCACGGTCAGCAGCAGAGTGCTGTGTGTTTGTGTGCCACCCTGGGAACTTGAAAACTAAATTTTGAAGCTGCAGGAAGACATGAGGTTTTGCATTTGTTTAAAATATTTCCCAGTGTTTTTAAATGTCAATCATAATTAAAAATAAACCACACAAACTAGCAATGAAGGTGAATAAAATAACACACAGGCAGAAAATACTTTTTGCTGCTGCTTTCAAAACAGTTGAATGTAACATTCCGTTATTTGTAAACGAGAGAGAAGATTTAGGTAACCATAAGTAGCATGCTGAAAATTGCAGTGGTTTTCTATTTTGAATCTCATATTTTGGGGGTTGCTCCCAGTGGTTTGATTCCACCTGCTTTCTTTTCCAAGATGTGAACTTAAAAATACTGAATTACTGCTATAACAATGCTTTCTACAAAGAGGCATTTCTGACTTCAACATGGCTTTGCCCAAAGTGAAGACAGAAGTTACAGAATCATGACAAATGGATTCTCATTATAAACAAAATTTTGAGCGGAGATGTTAATCTTCATATTTTTCTTGATGAAAATATTCTTCTACTTGCCTTTGTACCTGCAGTATGTTGAAGGAATCTTTTTGTGAACAGCTATTGTTATGGTAACTGTATATTAAAAGCCTAATTCACTTCCCATTAAATCCTTGGAAAGACTCAGACAGTATAATCCAGCTCCTTCGTTCAGTACTTTTTCAGACTGCAGAATGAGATAATACCTTCTGAAGAGACTTTCAAAAGTACATCTAAATTTTTCCCTTCAAAACAAATTTTACCATGGATAAATTTTTTTGAGCAGAGTGGTTATCTGCATCCCCATGATAATTTGTTTAAAGAAAGAATAGATTTTACAGCTTCAATTTGTAACACGATTGTAGATACATTTAATGTTCGAAACCGTGGAGTTCTATTTTCTTGGCTCCTTTGTCTTTTTAGTGAGTTTAGGATTTAATGATGATTGAGAAGTTCTACAATCATTATGTTACTGAGTCAAATAAACTACTGTAAAAACAGGTAAATCAGAGTACCGTAGCAAGTGTAAACTATGGAGATGGATATGTTACTGAGAGTATATACATTTGTAGAAAAATGCTTGGAGACTGGATTGTTCTGGATGGAATTGACTACTATTTGATTGTTCTCATTGTTTTCACAGTTGATCACTGTGAAGTTTACTGCTTTTTGTCCAAAGATAATGATATTTATTTTCTCATCTGCTAATGTGTATGTTATTTTCAGCTAAAGGAACACTTAGTGAAGATACCATCCGAGTGTTCCTCCAGCAAATTGCAGCAGCTATGCGTATTCTGCACAGCAAAGGAATCATTCATAGGGATCTTAAACCACAGAATATTTTGTTGTCTTACGCCAGTCGTAGGAAGTCAAGCGTCAGTGGCATACGCATCAAAATAGGTAAATATGCTTTTCTCTGATCTAAAGGTAAATCATCACTGTTGAATTGTTTCCCTACTCAGAAGTGTCTTTGTAGTTAAAGCGCAGAGGGTGTACTGAATATGATGTGTATTAAATTGATGTAAATCAGACAGTAAGTCTAGAATGATGAGCTTTATGCTGTAATGCACATTCTCAGTGTAAAAAAGTTTGAGTCATAAAGACCTTTTTGATTCAATCTGCGGGAAAAAGAAACCTAGGTAGCTGGTGTTTCTAGTATTAAACTATTTTAATTAGACACAAATCTGTAACCTTTAAAACTCTGAGTAGCCTTTAGCCCATTTCAAAACTGTGTGTATGTGAGACTCCAGCCACAGTTCCAGCTGGGTTGTTTGTGGTAAACCCTCCTAAGGGTTATTTGAGACATTTAGAAATGTAGGTTATGACCTGTTTTGACAGATGGAGGTTTGGCATTGTAACTGGGGAGATATGTCAACTGTTCAGGATACTACCAAACTCCTCTTCAGAGGATACTTCAGGAGTTTTAATCTCTCATTGTTGTCTGTTACATGTCCATTTTAAAATACCCTATTTTTAACAAGTTTCTTTTCTATGCCTTTGTTCAACCAAAATCTGAGATCTGTTCCAACTCACTCCATCTTCTAAACAGCAAAGAGGAGGCAAAACTTCTTTCTTGATAGTTTCAGATGCTTTTGCCTATGTGGAAAATTCAGGCATCTGAAACTTGACTTCTTAAAACTTCTACCTGATGTGATTTCACTGAAGCAGATTGTATATTCATCACTCTTAATGAACCATTTATATTTAGCCTCTGACTTTAATCCTTTCCACTGATGCCAGACAGCATGCTCTGCAGCTGGGGAGATGACTGAGCAGCAGTTTATGCAAATGATGCCACTGCTGTTTCTTGGCTTGCTATTTGGAAGATAATATTATTCTTTCAGTGTAACACAGATTTTACTATTCCATGTAGTTGGCTATATATTATACCTGTCTTTTTCTCTCTTAACTGGTAATTGTAGCAGATTTCAATAAGATAATTTCTAGACTTTAAAAATTTGAAAATTATCTTTCTTTACATTGACAAATGTGTTTCTTTATGTAGCTGACTTTGGTTTTGCTCGTTATCTGCATAGCAACATGATGGCTGCAACTCTGTGTGGTTCCCCTATGTATATGGTAAGGGACGGTATATTTCAGATTATGTTGCTTATCTCAAACATTCTCCTACCAGAACGAAGTAATATAGTGCCGGCAGATTGGCAAATGCCTAATGTTGCTTCAGAAGTATCAGGGGCAGCATGCAGTTCACCTTTCCATAGTTTTACTAGCTCCTTTTTCTCTTGTGATTTGGAGAACACGATTGTTAAAATCAGAGACACATTGAACATTTCTTAGCACTGCAGGGAGGAATAATCTTAGAGACTTAAAAGGCAACATCTTAGCATTAATTTTTTGGCAAAGTAGTTTCATTCCCACTTACATACCTTTTTTCTTTTTCCTTTTTTTTCTGAAATAAGGTATTATCTCCTTCCTAGTTTCTAAGAAAATGAAAAGTGATCAAATACAGGCTAGAAGAGCTTTACACTAGTAGTTAAAAAACTACTTTATGTTTTCATTCTAGTTATTTAATGTATTCTCTCACATGTGGGGTTTGTTTTGTTTTTAAAAAAAACAATTTGGAGTTAATTGCCAATAATCTTTACTAGGTAGCGTGGTAGTCAATTGAGCACTGAGCTGTCTGACTTTGGCACTACCACTACTGTACTGTACAGTCATGGGAAGATCCTTTTGCTTTCCCTTGTCTTGTTTTTGTATATATAAAATGATGATAATGATATTCCTTATGAAATGCTTGGTTATTTATCCACAAGAAGGACTGTATAAACCGACTAAATAACACTTACTTCTTATTCCCAAAGATGCTGATTGCAAGATGCTTTCTTTAGAACATCAACGTTTCTAGTTTTCTGTGGTTTTGAAACGTAGCTTTCATTTTAGATAGAACCGTCATCTTTCAAGTCATATGATGGAGATTAAAATGTTAATTTTGTCTTACAATAAAGTGGTCTCTGTTAATACTGCTCTGGACAGGAGAATTGTAGAATTCAAATTGCTGTGGCTTTGTTTTTTTGTTTTCCCTTCTAAGATTTTGCTGTTCTATTCAGGCCCCTGAAGTGATTATGTCTCAACACTATGATGCTAAAGCAGACCTGTGGAGCATAGGAACTGTGATTTATCAGTGTCTTGTTGGAAAACCACCTTTTCAGGTAACACTTTATTTCCTTTTCCCTCTTTTTAGTCTCATGGAAATACCTAGGGCTTTTCCTTCCGGTCATAAAAACAGAAGTAATGATGTCTGAGTGTAGTGTCGATGCTTCAAAGATCAGATCGCTTGAGGATGCCAAGGGAAAAGTTGCTCATACTTAGTCTATGAGATCAGTGTGTTCAATCCAGAGGAAATATATAAGGATACTCAGTACTGAAGTCACTGCTGTGCTTGGGATCTTCTCCTTTAACGCCCATATGCAAAAGACTCCTTTCTGTGTATGCGTGCATAGGTACAAAAGCTATTTTCTCCATGAAACTGAGCTTTAATTAATGTACATTTTTATTTGACAGGCTAATAGTCCTCAAGATTTGAGAATGTTTTATGAAAAGAACAGGAATTTGATTCCTAGGTACGTCACCATGGCCTTTCCTGTCACTTACATTTGTTGACTGAACACTTTTTCATCTTTGGGAATGCCTGGGTTTCATTAAAAGTATTTGATGTTGCTATCTTGACAAGGACCTAGTATGATAAGAGTGACTCCCATTGCATCTTGCATTCATTGTACCTTGCTGAGTTGAAAGTGTCCTGTACTAAGGCTATAGAGCATGTGTAGTGAAGACCTAGGGACACGGCAGAATGCTGACTTCCTGAAATGTAATGTGTTATGCATCATTTCATGTATGCATGACATTTAATGCACGTTTTACTTCCCCTTGTTGCAGTATTCCTAGGGAAACATCAGCTTATCTGGCTGACCTGCTGCTGGGTTTGCTTCAGAGAAACCAAAAAGATAGAATGGACTTTGGTATGTAACTTCCTTTTGCACTCTTGAATTTCCTTGTTTGTTGTATTCATGTGGCCAGAATAACTGTCTTGACCTTATGTCTACAGCCAATTACATGAAAAGTGAAGTATTTTTTCTTCTTGGCTCTCATAAAGGAGGCAGAGTAGCCAGAATAAATCATTAGGTAATTACTGTCAGTCAGTATTAAGTGATGTGCATAAATTATGACTTTGTAGTGGAGTAGTGAAATATAAATCAGTTTAATTCTTCCAGTTGTGGCCTCTTTTTCCCCACAATGTGAATTGATATACCTTAATTTTCATGTCACGGTCATATTTCTGTTACTTTAACTGCTATTTTGGCTTCAGACTGGGAGCAGGCATCTCTGATCTCTATGTAGTGGTGGTTGCAGAAATGTAACAAGCACTGGAAAAACCCACTTTGGAAGCAAAGTTGCTTTAAATGCTTTCCTCTTGCAAACTGCAAATATCATAACTGTATTAATGGGAGTACAAATTGTGTACATTTGATTTGACCTTGAAAGCACTCGCTCTATATATATATCTGAGGGGAATGAGATATGTGATGTTACATCAAAATTGTTTCTATTTGCAAAGATGAATTCCCAGTATTGCGCTTAGGTATTGCTAGCCATAGAGACTCCTTTATTTTAGTGAAATATTTTCATTGAGGTTTTCTGAAGCCAAAAAGTAGTCGAAACAACAGTTCTATCATCGTATTTTTATTAAGTCCTAAAATTTTAAAATTTTTAAACTGTGCAGTGACTGAAGTTTGCATACTGTTAGTTTACTGCAATGTCTGTTTAGGACTGCATTTTGAATTAGTTGGGAAGTTAAGCCTAATACAAACTAGGTGGATACCCCCTTAACAAAAGTGAACTTGTTTGGCTCCAATTAACTGCTGTGTTTGGCTTTTTCTCTTTAGCTGGAGATTTTTGGTTGCAGAACATTGTTCTAATTTCTTAAGATTTCAAGGCCTCAAATCAGTACTATCGAATCATTCAGAATGGCTACAACTGTTGCCTCTTCAAAATTAGTTAGGAGTAGTTTAGATTTGTGTGTGCTTTGTACTGTCTGGATTGTCTGTTGCTCACTTCAGTCTCAAAAAGGCTTTTTATTACTGGGGTTTTGGTTACATATTACTGCAGAAGTAATAATGCCTTTTTTCTTTTTTTTTTTTTTAAATGCAAACTTAGGCAGCATTTTTAAAAGACGACCACTGAAAAGTTATATCTTGATTAGTTCTTCTTAGCTGCATCTTGTATGTCATGTTATTCATGCTGGTTGTTTAGATTTTATAGCACTATTTGTTACTGCAGTTTTATCATAGCTGCAAGGAAATGTTAAACTTTTAGTTAATTCAAGCTAACTTAGCTAAATACAATTATCTTTGCTATTGATATAATAATAATGAAAATGTGCTTTATACTGAGATTTGTTTTAGCAACGAGATAGGTGACCCATCAAGTTTAATCTGTGAATGCTGAGAAAGATACTAAACCTTAAAGTCTCTTCAGGCTCCTTGTAGATAAGACCTAGTTCTTCCCTTGCCATAAGCTATTAGCTCGTGTGATGCTGAGATCCTAGGGTGAGTTGCAACCAAAAGTCAGACATGCTCAGTTTTTGTTTCTGCTTATGAAACTTCACCATTGCGCTTTAGTTATGCATGCAAGCTTGGTTTTGATGCAGTACTGAAATACACAAATTGACTCATTCATCACATGTGGTCCTTGTTGATTTGTGATAAGAAGACTATATTTGTTAGGCTGTGGAGAGAGGAGGATTCAAAAGGCATTTTAATCCTTTACTTGAAGCTCAAGACTCTCGTAGCTACATTTTATCTTTCCTTTTCAATTGCTGCTATGTTTTGCTCCAAGAAATATCAAACTTTTTTTTAGTAATTTGGAATTTAAAACATCCACCAGTACTGGCACAATTAAGGTGTTGCTCTTCCAAGAAGCAGGCATGGGTTTTTGTGTGTAGATGTAACTGACATAACTCGATTTAACTGCTGTACATAAAAACATAAGTAGAAGTCAGATCCAGAAAAAAACTCATGATAATTGGGTAAAATGTCCCAAATGACAGTGACAGTATTCAGAGGTCAATACACAAATCTGTGTGTGTAGAAGAATGAATAAATCACAAATGTGGACTGTGAGTAATCGATTCCACTTTGCACTCTGGGTATGCTGATCCCTACAGTTTCTTCAAACATGGGAAAATTCACTGTATCACTTGTGGTAGTGGGAGAATGCTTAGAAAGAAAAATAGAAAGCAGAATGGCAGTGATGAAAGTCATGTTTTCCTTGGCTGAGCCACTTGAAGGGCCTCAAAGGGGCTGCTCTGGAATGTGCTTAGCAAAGGGAGTGAAAGGGAGAGTGTATAACTGAGCCTAGTTGCCTGTTGTTAAAGTAAAAATAGCTTTGGAAATCTTGTTGATCTTCCAGCAATATAAAGCAGAACAGCAGGTGTTGTACAAAAGCTCAAAACCACCTGATCCTCGTGTTAATCATTACATCGTTCCTGTGTTACAGCTACCCTCCCTTCCTTATCGGGTTGTGGAAGAAAGTGTTGTTGAAGGAACAGGAGATACTGCAGGCCTCAGATTCTTTCATTTATTTTTTTCCGTGTTAGTTGCTTAGGTCTGATGAAAAACATTGGTTTTCTTCAACAGTTAGAACATTAAAGTTCACAAAGCTCAGCAGCTGGCTTCTACCAACCTTCAATTTCCCCTTACTAGCTGAAGGTTGCTTCTTGTAGAATAAAACTTTCCATGTAAACTGCTAGCCAGCTGGTTATGCGAAGTCAATTAAATGCATCTTGGCATATCCATTTACAACAAAAGCAAAATGTTTCTATTGTAACAGTAACAAGTTAACTGAGGAAATTGTTAAAGAAATTGTATTTAATTCTGCTTTAAACTGAACCAGCTGCACAGGTCGTGTTCTGCTGTTGGGAAGTGGGAAGCAGAATGGCTGCTGCTCTGCTGTGATTTTTGGCCCCCTAAGGAGTAGCATTAATGGGTTCAGAAATAAGCGTTAGTCCTTGGGAAAGGCGGAATTGAAAATACTGCAGTGTTTGATGTGAGAGGTGATCATCATTTTGAAGAGAAATTAAAACTCAAGTTAATACTGTATTGAACATAGAGAACATAATTTCATGATGACTATAGGAAGGCTTCTTGTGTACATGCACCTTAAGTACAGTCATAAAATATCCTCCAGTAATTCAGTCTGATTTGCCTTCCTGGCTGCTGTTTGGAGTTACTCAATTGATTTTGTTTCCTTTCCAAATGCTATAGCAACATATAACATAGAAGGCTTTAATCTTTTATAAGCTCTTCGCCCTCTGGCTCTAAAATATTGATTCTAGGAAGGCAACCATTTATCACCATCTGCAAAATAGTCTGTAAATTCTTTGTCATTTGTACATTTACTCACCATGGTGGTTGTTTCTTATTCTATAGAAGCATTTTTCAACCACCCTTTCCTGGATCAGATTTCAACAGTCAAAAAATGTAAGTAGTTTTGGTTTTCCACTTATTTGTGTAAATGATGAATGTTGGGGGCTAGAACGGAGAAAAATCTGCCAAATATCATACGAAGTGTTTATGAGTCTGACCTGTTGTTGTGCTCTATTGTGAGGCTAAGTGTTGAATCCTTTTTTTGTATTAGGCTAGACTGAAATGTCATGCTTATGTACTAGTTCCTTTGACATTTCAACTGAACTTGAATACCCTTGTGTGTTTAAGGATGTGCTGTGCTTATAAGTTGTATAAGGGTTTATGAATGAAAAACAGTGAGGAGATGAGTTTGTTTAAAATTCAGCTGTCCAAAATCTTGGTCCCTTTCCCCCCACCCCTTGGTGTTCCTCTTCTAGCTTGTCCTGTACCAGTGCCCACATATGCAGGCTCAGTCTCCGGCAGTTCCTGTGGTAGCTCTCCTTCATGCCGTTTTGCTTCTCCTCCAGTAAGTTCTCTCTTTTACAGAACAATCTCTAGAAAATATTTTCTGTAATGTTTAGCCAAGAGTTACTGAATTTTAGATCATTCAATTCTTGAACAGTGTAAACTGTTGTGTTTAAGAGCACAGAGCAAGGAATACCTCTGTCTTTTACTTGAAGAATGGCATTAACATTTTGGTTCTCTCTTGCTCCTTGTGTTGTACTTTGTGAGTTTTTTGTCGTTCTTTTTTGTTAAAGAAAAATACATATGTATGTCAAATACTAGACTAGTGAATCTTTAGATATGCTAATATGGTTTGCAATGTAATGAATGTTACGGATAATTTTTGAATTGGCCTTTTTGGCTAAGGCAAATATATATTGGCCTATACCAATATGAATCGGTGACTTCAGTTTTATGTGGTATTTGAAGAGGTGCATCTGTATCATCAGGAATGATTGAATACATTGCAATTCCTTAAATTCACAGCCTATTTAATATAGAACTGTCTAAATTGACACTACAGGGTTATCCAGTATTTGAAATTTCCAAATTCAAATACATTTTATGTTCCTAAATACTTAAGGAACAAAAAATGGCCCAAGATTTTTTTTATTTTTATTTTTTTGTCAAAGCTAGTGATGATTCTTACTTCAGAAGCTTCGTAGTTAGAAGAGCAATTCTACATTCTGAGTCACTGGATTTACAGTAGTTTATTTTACTTCCCTCCTCCCCCCCTTCAGTCTCTGCCAGACATGCAGCATATTCAAGAAGAAAATTTGTCTTCCCCTCCATTGGGTCCTCCTAACTATCTTCAAGTCTCTAAAGACTCTGCCAGTACCAGTAGCAAGAACTCCTCTTGTGACACAGATGACTTTGTTCTTGTTCCACACAACATCTCTTCAGATCACTCATGTAAGAACCTTCCTTATCTTTACGTTTTAAAACAATTTCCACTTGTAACATACCTTTATGTCCTGTTATTCTTTGGCTCTCTTTTCTCTAAATGTGTCTCAATTCACATTGGAACTCATTTATTTAGTTTGATTACTCTGAAGGGAGACTTTGGTATACCTGCATGTCCATCTGCGACACTTTCACCTTCAACTGAGTAGCCAGGTATGCCAAAGATACCAAAGTGATTTAAAATCATGGAAAATACTTGGATTTGGCAGTAGAAGAAAAGACTGTCAGTTGTAAACAGCTGCTCATAAGAAGCCCAAGGATTTTCTTAGTGGAGGCCGGCACATTGTTACCTCCAGACTAACTGAACATTTGTAGTCCATGCTGTAGAGCTTTAGATAATAAACAAGTGCAGGTAAAAACATAACAAATGTTTAACATGAAAGGTAAGGCATCAGACCGGGCTTGCACAGTAGTAAGACTTCAATGTAGCATGTTGCCTTTTTACGATATCATCCAAACCTGAATTGCCACTAGGAAACTAGTCAGCTGATTTCTGTACGATGCGACCATCTCGTGTTAAATATTTGACTAAATTAGTGCCTTGATCTCTGAAGGGTTTCTGTCATTCATTATTATAAATTTCCTAGTGTTGATACCGTGTATTCTTAAACAGTGGATTTTATTTCAAAATTATTATAATTAGTATAGCAAAAGAAAAAACCCTAGCAAAAACAACCAACCAAAATCTTGTTAAAGAACTGCCTTCCCCAGTTACATTTTTGTCAGTGGTCACATTTGAGGTGGTATCATACAAAAAACAATTTGTGGAAAACTTTTATGTGTTCACAGGAGTTTGTCAGAAGTGGTTATTTCTACAACAGTAATATTGAAGATTATTTTTTTTTTAAGATTCTGCTTCATGACGTAGGTTTTCAATGTGTTCTTCTGCTTACTGTAGATGATATGCCATTGGGAGCAGCTGGCAGGCGGGCTTCAAGCGAGTTCTTGATGTGTGGAGGGTAGGTGTGCTGAGCTTTATCCAAAAGAAGTCTCATGTTCTAAAATTGATACTGCAGCTGTAGAAGGGGTTGCTGGGGTTTTGGCAGTGATGAGTTTACATAGCTGTGTGGACTTTCTTAAAGATTAATATGCCAAGTTGAATTTAGTATGAATATGTACGCAGCGTGAATTCAGAAAGTTTTGCTGCAAAGTAGATAGTTTCTCTGATGTGAAGACCTGTCTTTTGACAGTGGTTTTTGTTTTCACAGGCAGTCGCCATTAACTATTTCTGGAAGCTCAGGAACTGTACAGAAACCATCCTCAGCCTCTTCTCGAAGTACTGCTTCTGGTACAGTTAACAGGTGCGTGATGTAGGCTTAGTATTTCTTCTGTTTTAAACAAGGTTCTCTGCTGCTATGGATTTGTGGTTTGGTTGGTTGTTTTTTTTAATTGTGGATGGGTACTGGAAACTGAATTGAAATAGAAGCTAGACCTGTTTTTTTCCACGCTCCCTACACTTAATGCATTTTAATGGCTGATGGTTGTGTTGCTAACTTCTGGCTCTGATGCATCCCCAAAAGATGTCCTTAAGGAAAGAAAGCATTCTTTTATATGTTTAAATTTTGAACTGGTTGAAACCAGAAACTTGAGACATAACTGACTTGTCCTTTTTGGTGTTACGAAGTACAACGCAGTCTTCATTTAGTCAGTCAAGATATTGAATGCAGTATACATTTTAAGAAGTAGTTGTGTGTCTCCTGGCTGGATTGTCTTGTGTCTGGTAACTGGGTGTGGCTTCTGTGCAAGCAATTATTACTGTGAATTTCATGTTTGTGTCTCACAAGATACCAAAGAACCCACATGAAAGAGCTAAACATGTGTCGCAGCTTTTCCATCAGCAGGACTGTTAATAAGTCCTCTCTCTTCCGCATGGTTGTAGACGTAAGTTTCTGCTAGTTTGAAATTAAACTGATATTCATCGGTGGTGCCTGAAATCTTTCCTGTATTGTATTGGAGAATGTAAAGCTTAATTGTGCTGTTCAGCTACTCATGCAATATCTAAACAGAAGGGTTACGTTTGTCATTTGACCATGTAATGAATTTCACAATGTTTTCAGCACAAATAGAGGATGAGTGGCTAAATGGGGAATAAAGCTATTATGTTGGGTGTATTTTTTGGCTTATGCTAATACTACATGGCCAAGAGTCAGCATTATTTGTTTAGAAGTGCTTGTCACAAGAAGAGTTTGCTACTTTGTGCTGATCTTTGTGCAGTTTGTGGAATCTGCTGACGTGGGCTACCAGTACAGCTTTAATCTTACCTGCTATCGGTACAGCTTTAGTCTTACCTTTTATGTTTAAGGGCAGATAATGGGGATGGTGTGTCTGTAAAGATCCATTTGCTCTGGATTGGTCACCTACAACATATTATAAATACATTGTAATTTCCTGTTCTAAATCATGTCAGGTGTCACAGTGTTTAGAGTTACAGGTTTTATGAAACTAGGGCAGTTATGTTATCTGTACCTTAGTCACTTAAGAGCTAAATGATTAGAAACAGGTGCCTACTGATTCAGTGTTTGTACTATAATAGTTTGATTTATCTATTGGTTGAGTAAATCTGGTAACTAACTGGCTGCTTGAGACATGGTCTGAAGGAAGCAGAGTGTGTCTGATATTCTACAAGATACTGGTTTGGGGTTTTTGTAGGTGGTTTGTTTTTGTTTTTTTTTTTTACTTCCTGAGAAATGTTCTTTCATAGTGTGTGATTTATTTTTTTTACAAAAGGTTGAGTTCTGTGAAAGTGATTTTTTTTTTTTTCTGATTGCTGATCAAACTGAATGAATTGTACCTATAGTTATGCTGCTTTATGTCAAATAGAAGAAGCTGTAACGCTTCCCAGGCTCCAGCCAGAATGAGCAGAATAGGGAGAGGTGCTTCGCTCTCCTGTGGTTAATTGCTAATTTTATTCTGTAGATCTCACAGAAACAAGATTTGCATGGAACTCTGCACACATCTGTATTGTATTTTGTCTAGCCAGTAACAAACCACATCAGACTTGAGGATGCCTAACCAGAGCTTAGCTTAGGTCTGAGCTGGGGAGCCCTGATAGAAGGCCAAGTACTGTACCATGCCTCTCCACCATGCTAACTCAGCATTTCTGCTTCCGTTAGCTCACAACTCGCAGAGCTTGCTTGGCTCTATCTGCACGGCTGTGTGAGAGCAAGGGAAGGCATTTTTCATGCCGAGTACTTTAAAAGTTGGAGTGCCTTCATGCCCTCCTCAGTGTCATTGCCACAGTTTAAATAATATCTGCTTCCCCTCTCCTGGAGGTCGGGCCTAGGGAGCCTCCCTGTGCTACCTCAGCGTGTTGGGTTAGTTGTGGCAGGCTGCCCACTGCCTTTGTGTGGTTTCCACTTGAGACCTTCTTGTGTGGAAGCTTTCAGGCCTTCCACCAACTGTGTGCTCACAGCTGACTCTTAAATTACTTGGTAGTATCTAGAAACTGGGTGGCAATAAAATGGCAAACTTCTTTTCTTTTGCTAAGGAAGCTCTGTGTATATTAGGAAGTAGTGTTTTATTCTCAGAGGTAGCTAAGAGAACAGGACAAATGCAGTCAGAACCCCAGATTTCTGTTAAGCTGTAGCTGTGCAGTGAGCGCTGTAACAGCTTGTTTTCTAGAGCTCATGGTAGAACTTTTTTTCACATTTCTCTAAGAATTTGTAATCTTTCTCTGAAGAGGTGGTTAATAAAGGACCAGATACAAAACTGATTGTCTTCCAAAAAGCCTATTCGTTTGAAAATCTTTCCATTGAATTCTGTCTTCCTTTAAAAGTGTTGGTAACTGATGACGTTGCAGTGGTTTGATTCCCTTATCAGATAGTACACTGAGGTAAGGCAGGTCACTGACTCTTCAGTGGAACTCGGGTAATGTCAATCTGCAGTTCGCGCCTGTGGTTTAATGTTCAGGTGTGTGGGTTTGGTCATTTTGTCAGGGGTTGGTTACATAACGTGTTTTCCTTTTGCAAGTTCACGATGTCTCTTGGGATATCTCTGACTGTGGCTTTTGTACGCATTCCAGCCCTGCTGCTGAACTTCCTGTTCTTAGCGCAGTGGGTTTTCCTAGAACGCTATTTTGAAGTGTGGTAAACAGAGCGGGCTGATTGGCAGGAAGTCGGAGGGATCTGTAGGTCGCTGTGATGCGTGACGAAGTGCTTCAGCTAGTACTGCACTCTCAGCTCGGTTTGATTCTAGGCAGTGTAAGAAAGGTAGTTAGTAACGAACAGTTCCTGATCTTCTTCCGTGAAGTGTTAGAGCTAGATTAGGACTAGCTGAGATCATACTGCATGCAGAGACTGCAGAAGCAGTTTATTTGCCCTTTTCCTAGATTTTCTTGCAATTTCAACAATGGTGCAATTCAGAGAGAGACCTGTCTACCTATATTCATCTCCTGTCTCCATACCTTCCAACTTCAGGCATTGTCAGCCTTCAGTATCCCCCCGCAGCGAAACGGCACCTATCCCAGTTCCCACTCAGCTACGGAATTACCAGCGCATAGAACAGAACCTCTCTTCTACTGCCAGCCCTGTGTCAAACCCCCACGGATCACCAAGGTGAGTTTGTAGTGGTTTATTGGGTTTTTTTAAACTCTTTTTTTTCTTGGTCCTAGTTTGTGTTTGTACCCTGACAGATGTCCGTGCTTTCTTGCTGATGTAACTTTTTTTTTCTGCACAAAAACATACTTAAAGAGACATTTTAATGATAACAAATAATAGTCCTTCACAATCTCAGGATTGTTGGATGGGCACTTGAAATTTTTCACAAAAACAAAATGAGCTTGTTATTTCACTCAGATGCAACCCAAGAAGGTAAAAAGATGAAGTCTTGCTTTTTTATTCCTCTTTGTGTATTGTATGGCATTACATCATAAACTAGAAAGTCAGTAATAAGTTATGTTTTGTTTTCACACATGTAGTGATGAGATGAACACATTGTTCTGTAGAATATCAAGAAAAAAATTTTTGGCATGCTAGTTAACCAGCTTGTCTTACTACAGAGCTCTAGTGTGCCAGACTTATTCTCTGCCTTGTGGTTGACAGGATCAGGATTGTGAGGGTCAAAGACTCACAGACTACTGGGAACTCTGGAGATCTTTACAAAAACAAAACCCATGGTTCCTTGCATATTTTCAGTATCTCTGATTTTATAATAGTTGCTACACTTGGGGAAGTGCTGTTCCCTTAAATAATCTGTTTGCAGTTATTTGACCTGCATATCAGACCCAATATGAATTTTGTCATAATCTTTGTTGACATAAAAATGGGCATTTGCAACAATGCATTTCACTTGATTCTAAAATTTAAAATTTGATGATCAAGTTGTTTGAGGATTAGGAATCCATGTAATAAGGGATATCTGCTTTAATTTTCTCCAGTTAACAGGCTATTATGGATGGCATTGAAAGTCAAAAAGTCAGTGGGAGCAAAGGGAATTAAATCTTGCTTGTTTTCAGTATGGGAAGCTTAGGTTAAGTTACTAGCTTAAGCTTCAAGGTTATAGCTTTCTCTTTAAATATCAGTATTTTCTTTAACTGATCATTGTACTCCTAGAGGGATTCTGAAGCTTTTATCTCAAGGAACCACAGTTACTATCGTGTGTGTAACCATTCTTTTCACTTTGTTAGAGCTGGAGTTGTGAGACGCTCAAATACTAGCCCAATGGGCTTCATGAAGATGGGCTCCTGTTCTCCAGTACCAGCTGACACTGCACAGGGTGTTGGGCGCAGGTTATCCACAGGATCTTCTAGACCATATTCTCCTTCACCACTAGGTAAGCCCATCAATTTTTAGTAATTAGTAAAGATTTATCTTTACTAATTACTTTACATTAGTAAAGATTTATCTGCAACAGTATTTCAGAACACTAATTCTTGCTTGAAATTATCTTAAAGCAAAATCTGCCCAACTAGGTCACATTTGCAAAAATAATTTCTGTTAAATGACTCACAGAAGTATACTAGCTAGGTTTTATTTTTTGTAGGTGAAGTATAAAGTGTAAATTCATATTTTGATTTTGTTTGCATAGTTGGAACCATACCTGAGCAGCTTGGACACTGTTGTTGCGGACAACTTCAAGGACATGAATCAAGGAGTAGAAACTTCTCAGGTGAGTGATTTTGGACAATGCAATGGTACTATTTTGATGGTGCTTCTACAGCATTTTGTGAAAGGGGAGGAGAGCCAACACTACGTTAGTATGGGTTAATAGGAGACACTGGGTAAGTGGTGCACTGAGTTTCTGTAGAATCTTAGCCCAGTTTCAGCTGTATCGAGGCACCTTTCCCCATAACTAATTCCCTACGCAATAAAAGAGCAATTGAAGTTTCTTTTTCTCAAGATGAAAAAGCAATCGTGATAATGCCTGTCTTTAAGCAGGGGTGGAGGTGAATGGATTATAATGAATGGTAGTAACGTGCTTCTCGGAATCTGGTTTTGATAGACCAGCTCTGTCATGCCAGTCCTCAGAAAAGGGAGGAAGAACTGCCAGTGTGCAGCACGTTTTTGTCATTCCCTTAGGAAATTGACTGGGATCTGATTTTAGTGTTGCTAAGCATTCAGTAAGCTTTGCAAGTCATAAATTATTATGGCATGCCAGCAGGAAAAAAAAAAATCAGGGAGAAATAGAACTTGAAGGTGTTCTGAGGCTGTTAAAGATGGAATTGCACTGTAATGTCAGAAGGATTGAGCATAAGAGTATACAATTCTGCAATGCGTTCTTTTGGTCAATACACATTTTGGGTGCAATTTCTTCTTTATCTAAAATACGAGTTACATGCTTTATCTCAACTTTGAGAGGTAGTGCTGAAACTGCATTATGGGGGGTTTCCCCCTATTTAAACACTTTCTAAAATCGCCTGGAGATGATAGAGCATTTCTTGGAGTAGCCATATTTCAGATATCTGGGAATGGTTTCATCTGTGTGAAATAAGTTCTATGATGTGTCTCAAAAATTGCCTTCATAATTGCTATGCCATTGGCGGTCTCAGCAAAAGACAAGGAATGAGTGAATCCTCAGATTCGAAATGATCTCTTCTCTTAAAAAAAAAAAAAAAAAAAGGTTTGTGTGAAGAGAATACAAAGCAGTATGTATGCTTTTCTTGTTGTATCTTTTCTTTGGATAGAACTTCATAGGGCTGTTGGTTTAGTGCCTTTTGCCAGTGTCAAACTGACTTGTAACATACCACAGCACTGTTTTTATGGCTGTAAGGGGTTTTTTTCTAATGTTTCATTTCTTTATGTGTCTTCTGCATTCTTTTCCTACTTGACTTTATTTCATAATTTCAAATGAATGCAGTGGTATTTCTATTTGTAAAATACCACAAATTGCAGCAAGTCTGTTTCTCAGCGTTTAAATGGGTATGGGAAGCTGTCTTTTGCTTCTGGGTGAAGTGAGGTCATCTGTACTGAGATTTTCCTAAGGACTGAAGATGCCTGTCGTAATGTAGCTTCTGAACTAATTGAGCTGCTCTTGCTGCCAGTGGCAGCAGAGCACAAACTTCTAATTCAGAAGCCTTCCCTGTGGTGGCAATGACACTATATCAGTAACCAGTGAGATTTAAGACTCGTTTCTGAAGTGACAGGTGAGGACTTTCAATGCTGTGAGACAGACAAGCAGAGGGATTTCAAACAAGCAAATTCTTGGTTGGGAAGTTGATGAGAAATAGACTTGATCTCTTGGCTGGAGCTGCAGGCAGAAGGGCTATTCTAAAACATTAATGGAGTGGAATGAAATCAAAATGAAGTAGCTCATATTCAAAATCTAACTAGCAAGAGCATAGGCTTAAGAAGGTTGAAAGATGTGTCTTAACAGCTACGCACTTTATTGAGCAAACTGCAAGAAGTTTGTGATTTTTTTGAGCGTACATTTATGAAACAGAGCCAATCAGAAGATTGTCTTGGCCAGCTCTTAAAAATCTTATCTAGTTAGTATGGTTCATTTTCAGGTTTGCCTTTTTTTTCTTTTTTTTTAAATGTGAGTGAAATTGTCACTTCAGTGTCAGTTCTTTGAGTTTACAAAGATACACATTTTATCTGGGAAGCTGTGGCCATAAAGCTGAAGTCTTATGTACTATTTGTAACCTTGCCCAGTTCCTCATCATGAGACATAAAAACATCACAAGGAAGAGACCATTTCATCAAATCTCAGGTTCCTTATTTTGAAAGAGGAAGGGCACCTTTCAGTAGGTGAGATGTTCATAACAGATATTTCCCCAAAACACTCTGTTTAAATGGCTGCTTATAGCTCTTCCATATCTGTTTGCATTAGGAGAAACTGCACTCATATTTCCTTTGTATACAGTAAGCTTTTGAAAAGGATTCAGTCTGACAGACTACAAAGCAAATTACTGCCCAAAGTAATGATCCCAAACTGTTTCATGAGAATAATTTGGTTCTTTTTAGTACCTAGTTTTCTTGCAGGAACCATGAGATGAGCTGCCTTTTGTGTCTGCAAATGAAGTCATTACGTACAAAATAAGTCATTAACATGCAATGTTGTATTCACGCGCTTGTTTGCAAGAATATAATTCCAGTACTTGAGAACCTCTATTCAACCTAGAGTCTTGGCGGCTGCACTTGAAATTTCAGTATTGGTTATGAAAAAACCAACCACTTTATTTGTCTTGATGCAGGTTGCCAGAGGTACTGCAGCTGCCAGTACAGCTGTCACCCTGAAATCTTGCCTATTTGGCAGCTTGAACGTCTCATCAGTGTAATGTAGCCTTAGTCCAAATAGCCAACAGGCTAAATCCACTCTCCTTGCCATCTAGTGAGTTGATGATCAGAGATATCTCATGATATTTTCACTCCCATCTTCTTTCAGTTTAATGTTGATTTCTGGCATTTTGGGCTTCATTGATACGTAGAATTTTACTTCATTGTTTTTCATCCCTGCAGGTTCTCCGATACCACCATCTCAGTCTCCACAGTCACTTTTGATGGGAGCGAGGTTGCAGAGCGCTCCTACTCTCACAGATATTTACCAAAACAAGCAGAAGCTCAGAAAACAGCATTCAGACCCCGTATGCCCATCCTATGCTGGGTATGGATACAGCCATTCTCCACAGCCAAGCAGGCCAGGTAGCCTGGGAACATCACCTACCAAACATATGGGATCGTCACCTAGGAGTTCAGACTGGCTCTTCAAAACTCCATTACCAACGATCATTGGCTCTCCTACTAAGGTTTGTTGAGTTTGTCACTGTCAGTAAAATGTGAAGTGGTAATGCACAGTCTGAAACCATTCCCAAGAATATTTTGGGGTTCTAACTTTGTGTGTTCTTGGTCTTGATTCTTAAAGGCAACAGCTCCTTTCAAAATACCTAAAACTCAAGCATCCTCAAACTTGCTGGCCCTGGCAAATCGTCAGGGCTCAGTAGATACCCAGTTGCAGCCTAAAGACATCGCTGACCCAAGGGATTTCGCGCACTTTCACTCGACCCAAGGAGGTGAAAAGCAGGCAGGAGAACAGCACAGTAAAACTGTATTCGGCAGGTAGGCATTGTAGTATTTACAACCTCTGAAGTTGGGAAGGTAACTTGGCAGGAGAATGTATGTTGCACAAGTGACTTGGAGGGGAAGAGCATGCAAGAGAGCTGTGGAGATGCTGAGGTTTGGTGTATACAACAGAAACATTTTGTACTGTGTATAAATATAGCACGGACTTCCTGGAGCACTTTGTGTTGCTGTCTAGTTCCTCTTTGTTTTGATTATCTGAACATGGAATTTCATTGCCTCTGTGAAGCCTGTTCAGTTTTTGCTTGAAAATCTATATGGCAGAATTTTGCAATATAAATTTTTAAGAGAAGGAGGTCTCTATTTTTATGGTTAGCTCTATTTCAGTAGGTCCATGATGAACAGTGAGATTTCAAGACTTTCTGTACTTTTGTTGAAGAATTCTCTATAATAAATACCAAGAATCTGAAAGTCATCCTTAGTTGCAAGTTAGATATGAAGATCTTAGTGAAGAACTTTGTTGTGAATTTATGTTTTTCTGTTTAGGTCTGTTAGTACTGGGAAGCTATCGGATCAACAGGTAAAGACTACCCTTGGTGGCCAGTTATATCAAGGCAGTACAGACAGCCTCAATACAGAGCGACCGATGGATACAGGTAAGGAACAGATTGATGCATCCAAGCAGTCTTTATGTTCTAGGGTTTTTATGGAGTGCCAACTAGATACAGTTCTGCTGCCAACTTTGATAATTGGCTCTGACAATTTATAGCCTCAGCACAGAAGGCTTTTTTTAATCTTTATGGGGATATGTTTCATTTCTTTAGCATAGCTTTAAAAATAACTGAGACAGGAAAATAGCTATTTCTGTACTAAACACAGAAATATCTCAACTGCCTATACTGGCTAGAGAGGTTTGGGGTTTTTTTTGTTTGGTTTTATTTTTAATGCCACATTTGTGGCTGTTTCATTCCTAATTCCATCTTGGTTTCATATGAAAGCCAGTTTATGTAATTCTGGGTCATTGGGGTTTTTTTTGTTTTTTCTCCTCCCTCCCCCAGCTTGTCCCTTGCCACAAGTGGCCACCTAAAGTTCTCACCTCATTTTTGAGCAGATGGAAGGAGTTCTGCAGACACGGCTTGTTTTTAGCCTCCAGACCTGTCATGGTCTGCCTTTAGAATTTTTTTGTTGTGTCTTTTGCTGCAGGACTGGTGGCGTCCTCAGGCTCTCAGAGAGAGCCTCTGTTGCTCTTTTCTAGGCAAGAATAGAGCGGAGAGAGATCAAAAGTAAAAAGATCTGTGTAGGCCGCATCCTGACTCTTTTTGTATATTGCCAAGGCTGTCCACTGACAGCAAATAAAACAAGCTGAGAACTTCTAGCTAGTCCAAGTTTTGGATGTACATCAAAGCATGTCGTGTTGCAGTGCTCCAGTTGGCTGCATATAATTACTTATTGGTATGATTATATGTAATAAGGACTAACTTGCTGAAACTTTCTCTTCCAGCTCCAGCAGGAGCCTATGGAATTGCCATGGCACCTCCTATGGGAAGTGGGGCGAGTTCTCGGGCTGTCATGTTTACTGTTGGGTCCCCTCCAAGCAGCGCCACCCCTCCTACCTGCACCCATATGGTCCTCAGAACAAGAACCACCTCAGGTAAGACTTTCCTGACAACCGTGGACTGTTCTCAAATGCAGTATTTAGCCTTGCCTACTTCTTGGGCCAGTAAGCTGCTTACTGCCTTGCGCAGTAGATCCTCTAGGCCATACAGTAAAAGTGCTCTCTAAAGTAGAGATTAGTATCAGATGACTTCTGCCTTCTCTGTCCTACAGGGAGGGCCAAAGGCATGGATTTACAGTACAGCAGTGTGTAACCTCCTGTGTACACAGCTTTACTTCACCACAGGGAGTATAATAGATCTCTGTGACAAAGGTGGAGAGAGAAGGTTAGATTTCTGATTCCATGTTTTTGCCTGCTGCTGTGCATGGTACCAGAAACAACACACAAGGAGTGTGAGCTGGCTGCATTTCAATGTCAGCTATGTTGCCAAATATCAAAGATCTCAAGGTAAAGGCCTTCATCTGTTCAGGACAAGGAGGAGTCTGCAGCAGTGTGCTTTTGGGAACTATAGCACAACCTTTGGTCTGTACTGTTGGACTCTCTGCCTTGGAATCCTTGTCAGCCATTTTCCAGAATCTGTAGTATAAATCGTCACTGTTCATTTAAGGTGTAGCCTTCGCATTGTCTACAGAGCGATGCAAGGAACAATGAGGAGAGCCTCCCAAGAGTGAATCTGTGATGACTACTGATTTGTCATTTGCTATCATCTGCAGCCCCAGCGCTGCGAGATGGAACAACCTATTAGACTGAATGTGTCTGTTATTTTTCTTGTAGTTGGATCAAACAGTTCTGGAGGGTCTCTCTGCTCTACTAGTGGCCGTGTATATATGGGCTCTCCTCCTGGTATTTATATGGGTTCTTCTCCTCCGGGAGCCGAGGCAGCTCCGAGTCTGAAGTACATGCCTTATGGTACTTCGCCTCCCAGCTTAGAGGGCTTTATCACTTTTGAAGCTCCCGAATTGCCTGAGGAAACTTTAATGGAGGTATAGAAAAAATAATTTAATGTTTTATAATGTATAATGCTGCTAAAACAGAGACATGGTAAAAACAGGACTGCTCAGTGCACTTAGTAGTTTCCTCCTCACTATCTCACATGTTCCTTTTTAAGATCTTGAAAATATTCCTGTATCAATTGTGGCCAGTTTCTCTTTGGTAATTATTCCTGGCATTTCACGCATTTGAATAGGTAACCAAAGGAACACGACTGCTTTTGTTCACCAGAGCCTTCCAGAGAGGCCTCTGTTTGAACGCCAAGTCTCTGGACATGGGTGCTGACAGTCGCAATATTCCTCTGGGCATTGTTTTTAACTGCTTCTTTGCAGTCAGTGGATGACGTTAAATCCTACTTGTGGGAAGAGTGTCATTTTTTTTTTTTTTAGATGTGTGGAGGAGTGACACTTTAAAATGCAAATTGGGATGGTCTTTCACCAGACTGCTATCCTTGGACTGTAAATCTCTCAAGACAGATTGCTGTTCTGTTTTCTCATTCACATCTTGCTGGAAGGTGTTTGGATTTCTATTGAAGCTATATGTTGTAACATGAATGTTTGACAGTACACTGTATTCTTCCTACAGATAGAGTTTAAAATGTACTGAGACCTGCATTACTAATGAAAAGATTATAAATATTGCTAACATATGTTTGATTAGTTTTGAAGGCTAACTCTTTTTTTTTCTGAGCGGAGACTATGCATGTAGTATCTGTTTTAGTCACCAAGAAACAGTGATTTGTTAGCTCAGATTGAAGTTGTTTAGTTTAAATTGTAAACTTTGGCAACAGCTCCCTTTTAACACAATATAATTCTAGATCTAAGTGTAAATTAGAGTGAAGCAGATAAGTATGAAGCTTTTGATCGGTTCTTTTGTAGGTGTCAAGTCTGTTTATATAATAAAAGCCAAATGTTCCTCCTGGCTTCTCATACAAGTGCCGAGCATACTTTTGGGTTGCTGATAATATAATAACAAGTAATATGTCCCACTTGTCATTCCTTTAGTTGCTCAGGTTTCAACAAACACAGAATTCTGTGTCCCAATTCCTTTTGGCTTTGTTGAAAGACTCTTAAGTATAAGCTACAGTATCTTGAAGTCATTAACAAAGAGAAAACAAGTTAATACCTGTTGATCTGTTTGGACCCATTTGGTTCTGTAGTCCCTAGTGCTGGATTTACTACAGTGTGATTTCTGCATAGAATTGACATACCAAGAAATTCTCAAATGATTAGCAAGAGTTTTAAGTGTACTTGTTTGCTTTATGGCTTATAATGGTTAAATTGTTGTCGTCTTTCCCTCTGACAGAGAGAACATACAGATACACTGCGTCATCTAAACATGATGCTGACATTTACAGAATGTGTTCTGGATCTGACAGCAGTCAGAGGAGGAAACCCAGACCTGTGTACTTCTGCAGTATCGCTGTACCAAATCCAAGAGAGCATAGTTGTTGATCAGATCAGCCAGCTAAGCAAGGAATGGGGGTAAGTAGGTGGTCAAATAGTATCAAGGGAATTAGTGAATATTAAATACCTATAAAATGTATTCAAACTGTGCCTTTTTTGTTGGGAGTGATTGTTTTACCATATAGAATATTTTATAGGAATAAGTTTTTAACAACGGAAGACAGATCAGAAACAGCAAAGTATAGGGACATATTTGCCAGCAGACAAATAAAAGGACAGTGTTTTCTGGCCTGCCACATAAGTTGGGGAAAGTGGTGAGGAGTTGCAGCTTGAGGTGCAGCACTGTATTTCTAGACTTGGGAAATTTGTGTATGAGCTTCTGGCAGACCTGAGCCCTCATCTGTTCCTGTTGACCAGGCTGAAGCAGTAGCACTGAGGGGGAGGCTGGGAAAGAGAAAGGAGTGTCCAAATTGACCTTTTTCCAGTGGAACCAATCAGCCCTAATATAAAACCAAAAGCAAGGAGAAATATGAGAAACTTGGAGTGGTGGGAAAGGGCAGTTCCACTTCCTGCCTTCTTCCTGAAAAAAACCAACCAAAAACCCAAACAAAACCCCCCAACAACAACAACAAAAAAAACCCTGCAAAGTGTTTTCACAACTGAGAATTCCAGGGGCACAGGAAATGATGCTGCAAGAAAAGTACACTCAGTCGCTTGTGGTAAGACGTTGACCTCGGGCAGTTAGTCCCCACAAATAAGTGTTCCTTTTTAAAATGTCTGCATTAAAGCAGTTTTTATTTGCTGCTGCAGCTACTAGATCAGCAGATGTACTCTCAACCCATGACAGAGTGTTTGTGAAGGGAAGGGAGGGGTGGAGTTGCATTTTAAACATCTGTCTTCCTTTTCAGCTGCTGCTGGGTCCTATGTAGGGTTGTGATTAAAAAGTGGTATGTGCCCATGGCTTGAGGTGTGTTCAAGAAAGGTGTTTTGATACTTTTTTTTCCCTCCCCTTCTTAGACAAGTAGAGCAGCTGGTGTTGTATATGAAAGCCGCCCAGTTACTTGCATCTTCTCTGCATCTTGCCAAAGCACAGGTCAAATCGGGGAAATTGAACCCATCCACTGCTGTTAAGCAAGGTAGATGCAATATAATTTAATTTGCTTTGCTTGTGAATTTTCTTCGCTGATACATCACTCAAGAACCTTAAGTTGCAACATTTGTTTGTTTTCCTCTGTACAAGAGAATTGTAGATATGTACAATTCCACAATTCTGATAGTAAACAAAGATACAGCTAGAAACTGTTAAGAAATTGGCAGTTATTAACTTGAAATGGACGTTACTTGATATATACTTTATTCGTAGAAGTGGCAGAGTAAATAAACATTAAAAGCACAAGTTTAAACAGATTGACTTTGCTAGTGCTGGGAAAAGCTGAACTTAGGTTATGTTGTTGTTTGGTTGTGTGGGGTTTATTGATTGATTGTGTTTGGGGTTTTTTTTAATTTCTTCTTACCTTGCTTCCAGTTGTGAAAAGCCTCAATGAGAGATACAAATTCTGTATCGGCATGTGCAAGAAATTGACGGAAAAGTTGAATCGTTTCTTTTCAGACAAGCAAAGATTCATTGATGAAATCAACAGTGTAACTGCAGAGAAACTCATCTACAGCTGTGCTGTAGAAATGGTAAGTCACTCCTTTTACCTAAACGATAGGACATTGAGATGAATTGCTTCCTTTTCTTGCGTACCTCTTCTGCATAACCAGAAAATAGAATATATGTTTCCAGAATTCTGTTTGTGGTAATTTTTGTTAGTCTTTCACTCCTGCCCTGCTTTAACTGTGGCTAAAGTTCCTGGCAGATACTGTTCCTCAGGGACGTTTCCCCTCCATCAGCACATTCGGTACATAAACACTAGGAAGTGAACTCCTCAGCCACACAGCAGCCCTGCGTGCTGAAGCCTCAGCCAGAGTAAGGCTTACAGAAGCAGCTTCAGCAATCTGCTGGGTCAATTTGAGGAACATCAGCCTGTCCATACAAAGCAAGCGTGGGGAAGCTTTTCATGTAATTGATAAACACTGTATCTGCCATGGAGCAGATGCAGTAACCATACAGGAAACTGAACTGCTTTTTTAGTGAGAGGGAAGTCTTTTTTTTAACATAGATGTCACACAAAAGATACTGGTGAATGTTGTGCTTAACCCTGATAATGGTGTAGTTGTGCACAATTAATTTGTCGTCTTTACAAGGGATGTAGGTATAAGAACAAGCATATTTATTCATACGTTGTTGTAACACGTGCAAACACAAAAGATCAAAAAGTGCTTTTATAGCTTGTATGTGCAGATTATCCTTGGCTAATACAGCACAGGCGCTATATTCTGTCAGACTTCATTATAAAAACAAATCAGCTAAATTAAGGCTCAAACATAATTTCTTAATGACACTTTTATGTCCTTCATTTTGAATCTTTCAATTAATTACTTGCCTAATGCAGTTTATGTAACTGCATCTCCTGAATGATTCCAGGTTCAGTCAGCAGCTCTGGATGAGATGTTTCAGCAAACTGAAGATATCACATATCGATATCACAAAGCAGCCTTGCTGCTGGAAGGACTGACTAAAATACTGCAAGATCCTGCAGATATAGAAAATGTACACAAGTGTAAGTTCATGTTGAGTAAGGAAAATACTGAAAATTACATGGAGTTAATGCATTATAAAATAATACTGAAGTCATCGCCTATTTTACCTCTCTCTGTTTGCAGATAAATCTAGCATTGAGCGAAGGCTTTCTGCACTTTGCTACAGCACAGTGGCTGTATATGAGCAGTAGGAATATCCCGAGGACCAGATGGTGTGAACATAAGGGACCACATCAGTGATACTGCACTTTTCACTACAGCTTAATTGTTGTCCTTGTTCTGCCCCACGTGGAAGATGATTCTTACATTTCTGTGGTGACTACCAAAGAAACAGCAGCATATTCAAAGAGGAAAAATTCCAAAAGTACACTTGCCTTACCAATCCAGCAGCTCCTTTTTCTTCCTAGAAACAGAATTTTAAAAGAATCTGTCTTCACATTTCAAACTGATCCTTGTACGTGTGCTTTGACTTGAATGATCAGGGTTGTTTTTATCCTCGTGAGGTTTATAGAGAGAGTGGATCCTTCTGCATCAGGTACAAAAAGACATTTCCGTCAGAAGATTCCCTCAAAAGTTTGTGACAGATATTTTTAAGTTGTCAGTAAAATGTGGCGGAGTGAATTTGGGAAACCCTAACCATGTACAAGTGCTGTTCGAAGCTTTTGGGGCTAAGCTGGCTTGTATCGGAGCTCACATGTTGTAAACATGGCTCAGCTTGTCATATGAAGGGATGGCGAGAAAGTGCTCTTTCACATGGGGGAAAGATGGTAATGGAAGAAATTGTGCTCCATCTGTGCAAAATCCCAGTGGGTTTTCAGCTGATGTGGATACAATTTGATGATCTTCTTCCAAAATATTTTGTTTTGCACTAATTTACTAAAGCAACTGTATATTCATTTTTGAAGAACTGTATAAAAAAAAAATTAAGAGAAAGAAGGCACAATGGACTTGGCTGAATTTCATTTCAGTGTACATAAAATACTTTTCAAAATTTCAAATGTAGCTTCTAGAAGACTTTCAAACAAACTGTACAAACTTGTATTCATGTGAACCTTTCCATTTTATACCTATTTGTCTAATACTTGAGTAACTACTGCTCTGGACTTTCTCAGTAATAGCAATGTTGAGTTGCTGGTTGGTTGCTTTTTATATAGATTTGGTTGCATCTTTTGTTGTGCATGTGATATGTGCATTAATGCCTGCAGTCTCTAGGGGTGTAATGACAGTTCTCTGTAGTTTGTTTCTTGGGCAGTATTACAATAAATACTGTAAACTGAAAGGTTCTGCAAGGAACCATGCAAAACCAGAAAATAATGTTGGGGTTTGAGATGCTGATAAGTTGATGTAGAATATCTACATATTGTGTGTGAAAAATCAGGATTATTTTGTGTGCATTTTGGGGGAGAGGTGGGAAGCTTCATTTAGCCTTATAGGCATCATCATTTCAAGCATCCCATGAGATCATCAGGACAGTGATTTGCAAAGTATATAGGCAGATCAGCTTCTCTGGAAATGGTTCCTATACTTTATTTTTGGGACTTTTTTTGTTACTCAACTGCTTGGATACTTGAATAAACCATTCTCCAGGACAAAATCATTTTAATCCTCTTTAAACACAGTGGTTTGAACTATTTGACAAAGTTGTACAGGGCTTACACATCAAAATATTGTTTCAGTGTTCAGATAACCATGTGTTTCCTTTACTTTGACAGAGTAATGTACTTTTTACCTTATTTATCTGTATGAAATTCCAACAGTTAATTTGAAAGTGTTTGTTTATATAATGTTTGTATTTTTAGGTCTTTAATACGGTGTTTCTACCTCTCCTTTGTAATTGCATGCATTATTCTTGAAACTAGGTAATAACTCACTGAACTGTTGCGTAATAGCCTTTTTATTATGGCCTGTATAAATGTATATTAAGGTAAAATAAATACTGACACTAGAAGTGTTTCTATGGTAAAACCGAGTTTCTGCGTCTCTGTAACCGAAGGCCAATGGTATTAACTTCAAAAAAAAACAACCAAACCAACCAACCCAAAACCCAAAAAAAACCAAAAAACCCAGTTTGTACTTGGCTGGCTAAACCAAGTTGCTGAATGTTCCCTTCTTGGATGAAGAGATGCTCACCTCTGCAGTTGGACATGTCACCAGGGCAGGATGGGATGACATGCTTGAGTTTGTTATCTCTGGATAGCTCTGGCACAAAGTGTCTCCACGTTTGTTTTCCCTTGCTTTAGGAAAACAATTTACCCTGCCTTTTTAAAAAAAAACCTTGGATTTGAAAACAAATATGGTAAATAGGTTCCTGGGTAACAGCTGTATGTTCTTTCAACAAGGTGCCTCTAGCAAAGAGGAGCTGTCTGGGCTGCCAAAACAGCATGTACAGAGCCAATTGACAAAAACTGGCAGTAAATTACAATTTCAATCCAGGCCTTACAAAAAACAGGCTTTGTCCACCTTGTAGCTACTATCCTGTCCTTGGCTGAGGTGTGCTGTGGTAGCTGGTGTGTGGCTGTTGTATTTCTTAGTTGTACTATCAATTTTTTCCTGTTTTATTATTTAAAAAAAACCCAAACCCTACGCTTGTAACTGGCACATAACAATAAAAGAGGATGAGGAAGGAGTGAACAGGGAATGCTAATGATATGCCTGAACATGAATCTAGGAACAAAGCAAAAGCTTTAGTGCACAAGTCTAGGAGATAGGCTGCTTTTCCCAGGAACTCACTATTTTTTGTTGGTTTGTTTTTTTTTTTTCCTCAGGATTCAAGCTCATTCTCCTTCCACTCTTGCCAGCAAGACTACAGCTGCACAAACAGGAGGAGAAGAAAAGGGCTATTCTTGTTTGCTGCTCTCGGGAGGAGGAGACCAATGTTCATGGCCTGTCTTTCTGCATAAACTTACTCCACAAAGATCCTGAAGCTGTCCTCTGTCTGGCTCTCTGCACTGAACAGCAGGTGCTTGTTTCTACCAAATACTTTTTTTCAGCCTTTTGAATGATAGAACTTGAAAGGAGATATTTGGTGTGCTGCTTTTCTAGTTCAGCCCTCTAGCATCTACTCAAGAGAACCATGTTCTGTACTTGTTCTACTCTCCATAATGTATAACGTCGACAGAGGAATCTAAAATGGATTTTGATTCTGACATTTCTTGCTTTTTATAATCCAGAAGTTGAACTCTCAGCCCTTCTGCTGATAGAGAATGAAATCTAGTTAATTTAACTTGCAACTAAGATACCGTGATTTATTCTGAAGCATTTTTCAGTTGAGAGGTGTAAGTTGTTCTGGGACTCATTATGTTCTGCATAGTTCTTGCTATTTTCTCAGACAGCAATGTCAACCTATTACCATGGTCACGCCTGGGTTCAGAGGCAGTAACTGTTGTGATCCACTGGTCTCACAACACTGCACAGCCCAGCTGCACTGAAAGGGGAAGCCTGCTTTTTCATCTAGAGCAAGTAAAGCTGGATGCTGCTGCTTTCAAACCTTGCTGAGGCTTTGAAATTCAGATAGGCTGGCTCATGATCTGGCTCGTGACCCAGCTCCTGTTTGACTCCTGCTTCCTCTCCTATTTTGTGTGTGTGTTTTGTGGTATTTTTTGTGTATGGGGGTTTTTTTATAATTTTGATCCTTTGGCTTTTTTTGTCTGATCTCTGCTTGCCACTATTTTTTGACTGTCCAGGATGCCTTTTAAGTCTTTAAATAAATCTCCTTTTATCCTGAACTTCGCAGTCCAACCTGAGCCATACCCCAGCTGTGGCTTTTTAGTAAGTGCCCACATAGCTCCTCCTTTCTGTAGATGAGTGAAGCACAGCTCAGTAACCTCTCTCTGGAGGTCTTTAAGTCAGCTGGAGCCCAGTCTAACTAAGTCTTGGCACTGCTTCTTCAGACAAACACCTTTTCAATAGGCTTTTGTATGTGGCAGGCTTCCCCCTCCTCTTTGGCTGAAAGCAAACTAAATGCCAGTGGTGCTGTTGAGTCTTGTTGCAGTCTCTGTGCCAATCATTTTCATTGTTTCTTTGTCTCGCTTTCAAATTTTCCATGGCCCCAGCTATGTCTACAATGCAGCCCACAGACCATGGCTCTGTACTACACAGTATCTTGTTCTTGCAAATGTGAGATCAGCCACAGCTTTCAAAACAAGTGATGCCATAAATGAACTGAGCTGCATTTGTTCGTGTAGGTTCTTTAAAACCTCTCCCCGTTGTTAATCTTCTGTACCCGCTTTTATGATTGAGTGCTGTTCGGGCTTCTGTATCTGCCCGTCGTCTTGTGCCACTGGCCTGACTGTGTGACTTTTAGAAAACATTTGGAGCTCTAGGCTAGGTAGGCATTTAAGGAGAAATTAAGGAACTTCCACCTAGCTAAAAACTTGAAGTTCTGTGAGCGTGGTGTGCAAGCTAGAGAGACATTTATTGATTAGCTGTGTTATTTGGTGGACTCTTGAAACCAAATACTGCACAGCTTATCTTCTAAACCAAAGTCCTCCTTCCCCAGGTTCTGCTGGATGCTTGTGGGAGCAGGGCAAGGAGCAGCAGCATGAAGGCATGCTCCCCAGGCCCCGTGCAGGGCAGGAGCCTGTCTCGCCGCAGTGCCTTGCTATAATTGACTCCAAGAGGGGAGCAAGAGCAAGGGGCTGTGAGGAATGGGGGGGAGAGGAGATGTTTTATTGAGCAGGCTCCCCTGCTGCTGTAAGTGTAGCCCTGGGGATTAGAACACCCCCAGCACTGCTTACCTCCTGATTCCTCTAGAGTTCAATTACTTTCCCATAAATAGTGCCCTCCCTTATTGTTTCTCAGTGACTGAATAAAAATAGAAAATACTGTCAGCTCCTAGGCGTGGGGAGCACGCCACAGACCGTGCATTTCACCGGGTGCTGGCTGGGGCATTCTTCCATTTCACTCGAGATCCCACGCTTCCCTGAAATCCACATGTCTCACCCAGCCGCTCCAGGGAGACTCAGCTGATATTTTGCAACACTTAAAACTCCCTCAGCCATGCTTCCTGTCCATAATTGGCTAAAAGATGTCCTTGACAAGGACCAAAAGAGACGGTCTCCCGGGATGCAGCACGCTGCTGCTCTCATTTCTGCGAATACCAAGGAGCCTCAAGACCAGGTTTCTGCGAAAGTGTGGCACAGCACTGGCCTGCTGGCCACTGGGATGAACTGGGAGCTGGGATGTTTGCCTCCTGTGTGTGACATCGAGCACAAGAAGCACTGCTGTGGCATGAAAACCCTCGGGCTGAAAGCTGAGAATTTTACAGGCTCTAGAGAATGGCCACTCTGGCAAACGTAGGTAAATAACTGTCTCCCCGCTCCTGCAGGCGTCCCTTGGTGGGCACGCTGCCTGCAGAGGATGCGTTGCAGCAGGTTCCCCAGGAACAATGTAATACTCCGTGCTGAGAGCTCAAAGGCTTTTACTTCGACTGCAGTAGCATTAATTCCTTATCTCATTTTCCTTGCACCTCCAGACAGTGTGGTGCCTGGAGGGAGCTCCAACCTGCTGTGCCTGCAAGGATGCTAACAGGATCAAGGACAGCATTTTTGCATCAGGTAATGCTCCTGCGGGGAACATTGCCACCTCTCCTACCCATCGTCTTTAACGCAAACCCAGCTCCTTTTCACATACCACAGTGCAAGGGCTCCGTCAAGCCCAGCCTGTTTTAATTTCACACGTCACCTTCTGCGTGCAAGTATTGGCAGTTGCTCTTGTCATTCTTTTCCACGGCAGCCTGTTTACTGCTGAGATTTGTGCAATAGCTTGTGAAATGTTCACGTGCTGGCTGAGCCGCAGCCTGCGAGTTGTTAGCA